TTCATTTTGACATGAGTTGGGCACTTTATTCAAACAGTGTTTTTAATAGGATGGACTGGGTTGGAAGGGACATTAAAGATCATCCAGTCTTACCCCCTGCCATGGGCAGGGACACCTTCCACTATCTCAGGTGGCTCCAAGCCCTGTCCAACCTGTCCCTGGACACTGCCAGGGATCCAGGGGCAGCCACAGTTCCTGTGGGCAAAGTGTCCCAATAACCATGATGGCACCAGAAACTCCTGAAAGCTCTCYACTGCTGTACAGGATGGAAACAACTCCACATTTACCAGCAGAGCTGTCTCCTCCAGCTCAGTTCTCCGCTCTGTACACTGCGTGTGAGAGCTCAAGAAGTAGGTCACATGAGCCTCTGCAATTCCTTGTCTTGCCTCATGCAGCTGGAAGCTCCAAGCACACCCCCAGATTTGGCTTTGACACCCAACTCCAGCCCTGTGCCCAAAGCTGGGTTGATCAGCAGATGCAGCACCTCCTGGGGGAAAGGGAAAGGAAAAGRAAAGGAARGAAGGAACCTGAACTTGTCCAGAACCCGTTTGATTCATCACCTGTTTCCTGCTTGAACAGGGACATGGAGCACAGGACAGTTAGACCATGGCAAGCTGGGAGTGGCGTTTCCTCCCAATTTGGCCAGCAAAGGATGGAGATGGAGACAGGGGAGATCTTCTGCATGGGAACACTGGAAAATCCATCTCATCTGATCTCAAACCCAGAAGAACAAAGRCAAAGGGGGAACCTCCTGATTATCCCCAGGGATAATCAACCCCAGTAAACCCAAACATCCTCGTTGGTGGGTTGAGGGCAGAGCCTGCATTCCCTAGAGAGGAAAGATGTGCTGTTCTTTGTCATGCCAAGGCCCATGAGGGCTGCAGAACAACCTGATAATTCTGGGTTCTGTGAGATGAAATCTGAACCCCAGAGGCATTTCTGCAAAGCCAAGTCCCAGCAGGACTCTGCATATGCTTCATGCTTGAGAAGGCTGGGAGTATGAGGCCCTGGGGAAGCAGGGACTGGCTAATAAAAGCAGCAGACATGCRGGCAAAAAGAGAAATGCAGGATATAATTAGTGACACCCTTTCTATTGCAACAAAACAAATTTGTTCTTYGCAAATCCAAGCACAAGGAATGACACGTGGTACCCGTGAGAATGTTCTGCAGCAGAAGATGGGAACCAAAACCTCCCAGGGCCACAGAGAACAGCCACTCACCAACCAAATATAAAAAACCTCACTGGCCTAATGATTAACCTTCCCAAAGAAAGAGGTGGGGAGATCTCCCTGCCAGCAAGGAGCCATTTGTTAGACCTCATCTGGAGAACCAAGTACAATTGTGGTCATTTAAGTTCAAAAGAACTGAAGTGAAACAAGAGCCAGCACACACAAGAAATAAGTCAGGTGAGCAGGAGAGATGAAGAGAGACCAACTTATCAGATCTGGCAAAGCAAAGGCTGAAATGAGATGCAGGTGGCATCTCCAGAGGGATCAGACAGATCAATGACCATGTCAGGACACAGAATAAGGAGACAAAGGGCAAGTATAATGTTACRGGCTAAAAATCAAACCCCAAAGGACTTCAAAATCTCTCTTCTGGCGCATAAACCAGGAACTGGAGCTTAGGGGGTTGGGTTTTCTACATTGAGAGGAAGGTGAGAGGTTGGACATGACCTTCCTTGTGTGCTGGACCAGAAAGCCAACTCTGTCCTGGTTTATCCAGCACAAAGATGGCATCAGAGAGGATGAAGAGCCACCTGCCTGTGCTTTGGACAGAACTATCTGACTGCTTGAAAATATTCCCTCTACATCATTCTTTGCATATTAATTCTAACAACCCAATTATTCATTTCAAACCACCATAATTAAAAAATACAGGATACGACACATTCATAAATATTRGAATGAAAAGTTGTTCCAATTTTCWGAAGTATTTTTAGKCAACCAAAAATCCTCAGAGATTTGCTGAGATCCTCRGCAAATAGCATTAATAGCAACAAGGAGCAATACATCATACACAGAGATATCCTCTCGGATGCTATTTTGTGTGGGGGAAGTGTGAAATAAAAACCTAGAAAAGTTCACAAGAATCATAATTTCCCTCCTATTCAAGGTGACAGCACAGCCTCACCTTGAATAGTGTGTGCAAGTCTGGCCCAGGAATGTATTTATAGGAACAGGGTAAAACCAAACCAAAAATCAAAGTAGCAATGATAGCAATGAGAAGAACCAAATGATTTCAGCACAAGAAATAAATAAGCAAGGTCCATGTGAGGAAAAGAAAATCRAAGTCCAAATAGCACCAGTGGGATGTAAGAAGTTTAACTCTACCAGTAAAGTGCTCCAAGGAACAGGCTGAATTGCTGGTGTTGTGGAAAACACAAGATCTGTATCACAAGAGCTGCTCCAGAGCACATGCCAAGCTTCAGCATTTGCATGGGAATTAACTCTGCTAACTGAGAAGGCTGGAAGCTCTCACTATGTTCAAATCACAGCTCCTAGGATGGTGGCTGAAACTCAAGTCTAGCAGGAGGCTCCAAGGAGAGAAGCTGGACTTCCCAAAGCTCCAGCTGAGCTCCAGCATCTACTATACCCTACTGCCATATGAATCTCAGAATGGTTTGGGTTGGATGGGACCTCACAGCCCATCCAGTGCCACCCCTGCCATGGCAGGGACACCTCCCACTGTCCCAGGCTGCTCCCAGCCCCAATGTCCAGCCTGGCCTTGGGCACTGCCAGGGATCCAGGGGCAGCCACAGCTTCTCTGGGCACCCTGTGCCAGGGCCTGCCCACCCTCCCAGGGAACAATTCCTTCCCTATATCCCAGCTGTCCCTGCCCTCTGGCAGTGTGACCTCATTCCCTGTGTCCTGTCCCTCCATCCCTTGTCCCCAGTCCCTCTCCAGCTCTCCTGGAGCCCCTTCAGGTCCTGCAAGGTGAGGTCACCCCAGAGCTTCTCCTGTCCAGGCTGAACAATCCCAGCTCTCCCAGCCTCCCCTCCCAGCAGAGCTGCTCCATCCCTCTGACCATCCTGGAGCCTCCTCTGGGCTCTCTCCAGCAGCTCCAGGTCCCTCCTGTGCTGGGCCCCAGGGCTGGGGGCAGCTCTGCACGTGGGGTCTCACCTGAGCACAGGGGCAGAATCCTGGCTTTGGGATAGGAAAGCACCAGGAGAGCCATGGAGAAGAGAAATTCCATAAGAGAAATATATAAATCTCAACACAAATCCACTTTCATTAGCCCMAAACCCCCCGGTAGCCACAATCAGGAGTGTATGGGGAACGTTTGTTCTGTCCCCATGAGTTTGCTGAATGCACCATGTCTCACCAAAAGCCAGAGGTCACCAGCCTGAAGGACCTTCAGCCTGATCCCACTTGGATCCTCTTTCTGGAGTGCTTCCCAGGATCACCTGGGCACCTTCTCTTTCTGGAAGAGGTTCAGGATTTATTATCACAGCCAGGGAAGCATTTGAGAGCTACAGGTCGCTAGTGTGGACAAGCCTGCAGAGCTTTTCTGACCCCTAAATAAATAACACAAAATTCACTTCATTCCTTCCACACTACCCCTTCCACAATAATGCCTTTCCTGAAGGCCAGGATTTGTTTCTGTTAACACAGTAAGAGGTGTGCTGTAACCTTTCAGCAGAATGTCAGAAAAACAATGCTCCCTTTAAGCCCTTTCTCAAAGGAACTGTTAAATTAAACAAATAAATGAATCCACCACCATAAACCCCACATGCTGCTAGCCTGAACATCCTCTGTCCAGACTTTATGTATTGAAAAAAGCTGGAGACAAAAGCCCCCTAGCTGTAAATGCAATTATCTATCAATAATCTTCATTTTACACCTCTGGAAGCAAACAAGGGAGGGAATAAAGTCACACAGTCTTTACAAACAKCTCCCTGTATCAGATCTGGAAGCAGCACCCAACTCTGGCCTGGTGTGTATTCCACAGCCACTGARAACCCTCTTCAAAAACATTAACACCCCTAGAAACAGAGCAATTTAGAAAAAGCTTTCTACTTACTGGACCACAAGTCCTGAGAAATCAAGCAGAAAACCAGCACTCAGCCGCTGAGCTGGATACAAAGGAGTTGCTGAGTCTTCACCAAGATGAATTTGAAGGTGGCAGCATGTCAAAGCCAAAACGCACCCACACCCCCCAGCAGGCAAAGCAACACAAAACACAGGCAGGAGTTGAAAACAAAGAAACCCAAGGGCAGCCTCCCCAGCTCCTGACAGTGCAGGTGATGGAAGKGCAGCTGGCCCTGAGACAGCACATTCAGAGCAAGAGGAAGGGTGGCAAGAAAAAACCTCCCCAGAACTCAAAGGGTTCTGACTCTCCCTGGCTCACAGAGTGGGCACACCAGGRCACTGGCATTTGGGTGTGATTCTCCTTCTCCTGCCTGACCCCCCTTTGGAGGACATGAGTCCAGTCAGATCAGGAGAAATAGGCTGTGATTTAAAGCCCATGAAAGCAAGAATTTAACAATTTAAAGAGAAGCTATTATTCCTGCCTCAGCAGCACCTGATAATACTGATTTCCTTTTGAAAAGTTAGACAATAAACAACTCTTTAATGTATTATAGACCTCAAAAACAGGGAGAGAGTGAGATGGATGGATGGTCCTCCCCTGAAGTTCTATGTGGTGTCTTACTTTGAGAGGCATTTCACTCGTTTGCCTGTGACTATACAGTTTGGGGGACTTTTCCTTGTTTTAAACAAAGCAGCCTCGATTGTTTTCTATTTCCCAGATGTCTTACAGGCTAATAAATCTTCATATAAAACACAGAAACAGCCATAATCAAAGATTATACCATTCCAGCCACCACACCCTTTTTGCATCTGCAAAAACCTCATCAGGAAATTGTTGCTGTTTTTTWAACCAGGGTTCCTGGAAACAAAGTCCCCTCAGAATGTGAGAGTAAAAACCTAAATTAAGACATTTTCTATTACCCACCAAGCAATCTGATGACTTAAAATAATCAGAGACACCAACAAAAGTAACAGCAACTTCCCAAATGTATTTTGAAGCAAAACACAGCCATGATACCAAAGATTGTGTAATTACTGCTGCTCAGAGATGAAAAAAGTGTGGTTTTATTTCACAGCACAAAAAATCCAAAAGTTCTCCAAATTCATCCAGTTAGTGCCAGATCATTACAAATCTGCATTTGAAAGCTTGATGTTAACCAGAACAAAAGCAGTTCTTACTAGACAGAAAAAATTCACTTGCCAGAAAGATTCAACATTTAACAAATTAAAATGTATTTCACATGTATTGAAGGCCAGCATCCAAGAACACTGGTGTTTTYCATCAGTGAAAGCTTCTAGTTTCAGAAAGATTGCAGAGAGTCCRTGTCAGGTGACTGAGATGAGGCCTCCAGAGCCACAGGGAGGAGGAAACATTGTCTTGGAGGACTTTTGCAGTATGTAGGAACGTGCACTGCCAGATGTGGCAGCCCGCTGAAACATCATACACTGAATGAGTGCCCAACTTTGTAGAAATACTTTGATCCATTTCTGTTTTCTATTTTAARTATCTAAACAAAAGCCTATGTTTATTAGATAAAAGGATCAGAGTGAAGTCACCTCCCCAGTGCTCAGAACCAGAAGAAGTGCCTGGAGTATTTACATGKCCCAGCACTTCTATAGTGCTACAATGGTGGAAAGTTTCCACACTGAGCCTCTAAATTTTGCCAAAGGAGTGAGTCAGAGCATCCTCTAAACACACATCAGAGCCCCACCAGCACATTTTTCTTCCCAGTTAATTGCTGACAGCCACTGAAGAGATCTGTTACACTGGGGGTGTGATGGACTTGTACTCCGAGGTGAAATAGGGAACAGCTTCTGAGCAATCATCCACAGAATTTAAACATACAATCAACCTGCTAATRGCCAAACAAAGGGTACTCCACAATAGAAGGAACTTCTTGATTCCTGCACCTCATCTGGCACAYGCTCAAAAAAGCAATCAAGTGCAATGTATTCCTCCCTCCATAAGGAAGAAGGATGTATCTTTTAACAAATATGATGTCTTAAAATCAGTCTTGCTGAACTGACAACAGAATCCTCCATTCATTTCCCATAGTCAGGCTTTCATCCCTTCTGTTCATGAATCATCACTGACTCACAGAAAAAAATATTTGTTCAAAGGTGGATTTTCTCACTCTCGTATCTGCTATTTCCAAACTTAACTGCCWTTAAACAAAGGCTCATTTCTTTGCAGCCTGACTCAAATGTTGCAAAAARGTTCCTACCTGGGATCTGTCACAACCACTACCATCAGTTGACTTAGTCTCAAGATGGATCACGTGAAAAAGGAGACATGCAAAGGTGATCAAGCAGCGAAGTCATATGCAGGGGCTGACAATTATCCTGACCTACACTCCTCTGGTTGTTGCAGCTCAGAACTCCTCCCTAACCATTCCACCAGCTTCAGAAAGAGCTGCAGATTTAACATAGGCAAGTGCTGAAATATTTGAATCMGTGTCTTCAGTGATCTCTTGGTCTCTGCGGCAGAGGTGCACTAACAAAACAGGGCTCTACAACCACAGGTAGGGAAATTCCCTGAACTCAGAAAACAACAGCAAAAACCAGGTGTTTAATTGCTCCTTAACGTACAGGTATGTAAACCTGAAGTGCTTTTACACAAGGCATATTAAGAGGAAAAAAGTGGCAAAAGGCTGAGTTCCCAAGAAATTTTTTTTAAAAAACCCCTTACACACTCAGCTTGGATTTTGGCCTCTCCTCAGGTTTTGTTTGTGCAGCAGTTAACTTCCCAGTTCTGGGGGTGAGCCTACAAAAAGGACTTATCAGGTGCACTATAGACATTTATACCCTCCACTGCTGCAGGCTATGCTGTGGTAATCACTTATTCCAACCCTTCACCTCCTGCCCAGGGAACACAGCAAAACAAACCCCACTTGTACAGAGTGAGCTCTGGAACACTCATTAGAGGGTGAGAGTGCACACTTCAAGAGCTACCAGCACCATAAATCCATAACTCGATCTGCTTTGGGATAATTTGGTCAAGCATTCATTCCCTTGCAGGTGATGAAGGAGTTTTCATTTGACTCCACTCAAACATTACTCATCAGTTATCTTCAGTTTTCCTTTTGCTACCACAGTGCAGAACTTAAATGTACTTTCCAGCTTTCAGGAATAAGGGAMCTTAAAGTGCAGTTGCTTTAAAAGATCACCAGTCCTTTTAGGCAATTCAACCCTTCAAAACCAGCTGCATTTCAAAAGCAARGTGGCACAATGAATGTATAAGGCCTACATAAGTGACAGCGTGTTTGATGTCTTCAAGTTAGCAAAAGTCTCAGCTCAATCTTTATACAGTTAAAAAAACTGGATTTAGAGTTAGCAACAATTCCATTTCAAGCAGGAGGCTGGAGACATCAGAGTGGCCTTCCAGCCAGAGCTGGTAGGAAAACTGTCAGYACCTGGCCAGGACCAAGATAGTCAGAACCATGGCACAGCCCAACCTGAATGTCCCAGCCCAAATAACACCCAAAATGGATGGTGTTAGTGAAAGGACACTCCAGATTATTTAGAGAACAACTGCTGCATGTCCCAGAGCACCTTGAAGGAARAGTAACTACTTTCCATTCCCTCACCTTTTTCTCTACCTCTTTTAAAAGATAATTTACTTACCCTGGAGACTAACTTGCTATGCAGGATGGGTCGATGATGCCTTTAAGACTTTTAATTTCTTGCCCCTTTTCAAGCAGGTGATGCATGCAGGAACTCCTCCTGCTTTAAAATGCCCCAAAAGGAGATGGTGTTGTCCAGGCAGAAATTGTGCAGCTGTGGAGAAGAACTACGTACCCTCTCCCTTCTAGAAGCTTGGGAAAAAGATCAAAAAGAGGTTTGAAGTATTTCATGCGTGGCACAGGAAAACAGCAGCTAGAAACACAGGCAGCACAAAGCAATACTGAATCAGTCCAACCACTTTGAGATCAAAYAAAATAGAAGCTGCCCCAGCTCTTAAATTCATCCATGTCGCATTCATAACAGCACTGACCAATGAAATCAGCTTATTTGTACATATAAACACCCCAGGTACTTGTGCCTTTCATCACACATTTGTAACAACTTCCCTGTCACAGCAGGTGTTTTTGCAGCTCTGCTTATGCAATAGAGAAATCAGTGCACTGAGCTGAGACAACCCCCTGAAACTGCAAGGTTAGAAAGTCAGCACAGCAGCAGCAAATCATCCAAAGTGCTTGTTCCCAATGCTTATGGAACTGAACCCAGAGCAGTCTGAAGAACACTCATTCTGTTTTGTCCTYTCACAGCTCATCAACAGCAGTGATGTTGACTTTGGGCAGCTCGCACTCCTCCTTGAAGTGACAGTTCTCCAGGAGGTCCCTGTAGTAGTCCTTGAAGTCYGCGTAGGTGGAGATGGTCTCGTTGGAATGATGGAAAGCCAGCAGTTTCTCATTGAGCATCAGCTGTACCTGGTACTCCTCCTGGGAGGCGTTCACGTGGTCGCAGTGGTAGAGCACGAACACCAGGTTGGCTGCGTAAGGCACGATGCGGCCGCTGCGGAATTTCCGCTGCGCGTGCCGGGCGTAGTTGTTGGCCAGGAGAGGCTCGTCATCTTTGAAGTAACCCATCAGGGCAAGCAGGGGCTGCAGAGTCTCTGCATGCCCAACTTGGACAATCAAAGGTGAAGAAATGGGTTTGGAACTACAAAAGAAAAGAAGCAAAAGGGATGAACAAGAGCCTGTGCTTTAAAACAGAACACCAACACATTGAGGAGYCACCAGCAACCACAGCTGAAGGGCATCTTGAACTTGTGTTACTCCTGAGAAAAACCTGTTTGGGAATTTCCCTGTGTTACAGACATTTTAAATGCAGCTTCCTAAGTTTTGTCCAAGCACTGATCTGAGGCCAATGCAGTGAGGTTCAACAAGGCCAAGTGCCAGGTCCTGCTCTGGGGTCAGCCCAAGCCCTGCAGCTCCAGGCTGGCACAGAGGGGCTGCAAAGGGCCCGTGGGGAAAGGCCCTGGGGGTGCTGTGCCAGCGGCTGGACAGGAGCCCAGGGTGGCCCAGGGGGGCACGAGGCCAATGGCCCTGGGCTGTGCCAGCCATGGGGTGGCCACAGGTCCAGGGCAGGGCCTGTCCCCTGTGCTGGAGCTGCTGAGGGACCTCAAGGGCTGTGTCCAGTTCTGGGCCCTCCCAGCCAGAGAGCCCAGGAGTGTGTACAGGGAACRGMCTGGAGCTCCCTTACATAGTCAAGCCCTWCATTAGRCGYGAGTCTCCTTCAAATCATCAGCAAYATTTAYCAAATTTAGTCTGAAGACAGTGATCCAGCRATGCAGGAAAACAGTCATTCCTCCCCAGTTTATCAGACCAAAGGAGCAGCAGGAATACTGCCATTATTAATTCTTGACACCAAGCAATCCAAAAGAAGATGATGCTCCCTCAGTAACAGGTCAGCAAGCCAGGCCACTGACTGGTGCCATGAATTATGACAGCTTATGTAACAAAAGGTTACACACCACTCAGCCAAAGGGGAGATAAGAGCTGGCTTGCTGTGCCAGGAAGCACCAGCCAAGAGGAAAATCTGACCCTTGTTCCAGAGAAGGATGATGGCTTTCGGGGACCATTTCCAAGTGGCCCAGGTCACTTGATCTAGCACATGTAAATACAGGTTTAGCTTTCAGGAGACACGTGTTGATTGGCCTGAAAAGGAGGCGTTTCTGCCACTCCAACCCAAAGCAATGGAAAAATGGTTAACTGGGAGACTTCCCTGTGGACTGGAACTTTGATTAGCTCAGCAGGAATTCAGTGCTGGCCCAGGATGGGCTATTCCAGCTCACCATAGCCATGGTGTTCGTGCAGCACACACTTTGTGCTGTGCTTCTGGTGAACCTGAGACCTTCTGACTCCACTCCTCAGACTCTCTCTTTAGGCAAAACATCCCTTAAAAAACATCTCCAAACCCTGCCTCTGCTTCCCATTCAAAAGAAGCAGCATCCAAACCACAGAAAGATTCCCTACAGAGGACGTAACATTTTTTTCCACCTATGCCTTTGCTGCACCACACTCTTTCAGCTCCTCCAAAATCTCTGTTTCTGCCTATGTTCTCCCCTTGCTACTTATGAGCCCTTCACTCATCATAAAATTGTAAAGCTTTTGGATCCTTGAATCCCTTTTTCCTCCCTTCCTTCTCTTACCCATTTTACCAGTTCATGTGTATCCTCCCTTTCCATACACACTTGCAGGGATGTATTCTTAAGTTTTAGCACACAATCCCATCCCCCTGTCACGGCAGCAAGACACAGATGCCTATGGAAGGAGACAGGCAGCCACTCCTTTGATCTCCTGCAATTTCCAGCTCAGGAATATCCTRGGCCAGATATGGCTTCTAGCTCATGCATCATTCCTTTGCCAAACACCTCCTTAAATCCATGTACTATCTCTCCTTAAATCCAAATTTCTAGCACACACAACATCCTGTGGCAAGGAGTTGCACAGCTTCRTACACTGCTCTTATTTTTTTCTGTTTGTAGATGCAGTGTCCCATTCAGTCCCTTCTACTTCTAGCTYTRCAATAGCTTTCTYTTCTTSAGAAATCCTACCKTAGTTCTTGCACAATTTCCCAAATGAGCTATATCCCTTTAGATAAGTATATCAGAATGTACAATATTCAAGAACCACAAGCTACATCACAAATCCATGCTGCACCCATGAGCTCTCTGTCTGCTTGATTCCTGATATCCAACATGGAATCATGGAATGGTTTGGATTGGGAGGGACCTTAAAGAACATCACATTCCAACCCCCTGCCATGGTGGGGACACTTTCCATAGACCAGGCTGTTCAAAACTCCATTTGTTTGAAGTCTGAGATATCTCCCGACAGCTACAACAACCTCATAACTCAGCCTGAGCAGCAAGTTCTCCCAGATTCTATCTAACAGGTGGTAAGATAATTTTCYCCATGTGGATTACTTGACAGCTCTGCAGTTTTCCAGTCCAGTCAGTCTCACCAAGTTCCATCATAAACTTCCTAGTACAAACAATCTGATTTATCTTGAGTAAAACTGTCACATTTGTAATGCCACTGAACTTGTCACCTCTTTTTCCTTCGAGCATTTACAACATTTCAAGCATTTCAGATGTTTCCAGCTCTATCTCTTCTAGGAAAAATCAATCAGCTGTCCTTACCCTCCATTCCTAGCAATTTTTTTCTTTTTTTTTTYCCCCATGTAAGGACCTTTCCCCTTAACCCCATCTGCTTAATTTCTTTAGATAAGGAAACCTGTTGAGAAAGAGGTTTGGCAATCATGACTATGGTCAGCCAGATAACCCTATTTYATACTTGCTGATGCCTCCAAAGAGGAATGTTTTCCTCTTCAAGAGCCATCCTAACACTTCYCAGATGTATCATATTCATCAAGGTGCTCAGCAGCCTGCAGCATTATTTCTACAAGATTGGCCTGGAATTCTGATTCTCTCCTGGAGCTGATTTTTAAATTTTTTCCCTTATTTATCTGTATTTTCATGTCATCCCAGCGCATGGTGGTCTGTATTTTGTTAACTGTGAAGGAAGCTGGACATGTAAATRTGCTGCTAGAATCTCCAAAACAGCCTTACATAGGCATTACTGATTCCACAGGGAATGGATTTCACATCCCATCACCCAAAAGAGGCTTCAGAAATGCTAAAAAAAAAAAAAAAAAAAAAAAAAAAAAAAAAAAGAAAAAAGAAAAAAAAAATCTAGCTATCAATGCTGGCTTTAAGCAACATTTGGCTTTACTTTCCAGCTGCTACTAAACAGGAATGTTGAAATGAAAGTAAATCACAAAATATATCTTGCTGGATTTTTTTGCTATATGTTTGCAAAGCAGAAAACAAATTACAGCATAGACAAGTTTTTAAGGAAAGTTTTTAAGAACAAGGAAAAAAGTGACAAAAGGGGGACTAAACAAGGTGTTCACTCTCAGCACAACTTGAGTTTTTCCTTCACCTGCTTTAATCTCATGAAATCCTCATGCCAACAGGCCAAAGCACCTTGGGAGGCAAAACAAACCTCTCCCACTCAGAGCTATCCCACTGGATTAGTTTGATGAAGATTAGAACTGTTTCCTGATACGACACAATCCTGAGTTCTCCACAGCCTCTTTAACACAGCTTGCCAGCTCCCTCAGCAAATGACTTCCCAGACTGCTCCAGCACTCCCTGTTTAGTCTCCAGGGTCAGGGCTCCATCTCAGATGTGGTTTCCTATCATCCAGCAATGATAATAAAAGTGGCCATCAGGGTTAAACAGCAGTATTTTTAATTGTGGGGAAAATGACGACAGATTAGCTCTTCAGGGAATACACGCAGGCAAAGGTTACCATTGCCCCTGCATTTCTGATAAAGACAGACAGAACAAGCAACAAAACACTGATAAACAGTAGCCCAGGCTAATAAAATATTAAATGGCAGGTCTGATGTTTCCACACTCAATTTGCCTCCCCATCAATCAATGACTCAGTGTCATGTTGGAAGAATCAAAGTTCTCAGCACCGTACCCTGGCAGTTGCTAATGATATTTCAATCTACTTTTCCCCTTCTTTTTATTTACTAGTACATGGCTTGGGAAATTCCACTGAGTAYATCTCATTCCCACCTTTGAAGGGAGATGAAGGGCCTGTGCATAAAATTCTGCCATAAAATATTAGGAGCTTGTCTGAWAGCGATTGGTTTCATATTCATTTCATGGGGCACTTCCAAGTGAGCAGAAGGGGCTTTCACTAGGCTGAGCATAAGCAGGGTTCATTGGAGAGATGTGCCAGCTCCTGAACTGCCCACACTGGCTTTGTATGATTTTTTTACCTTCTAAGTAAATTCAACCACAGCTGAAAATGAAGACAGTACTGAAAAATTCAGCACCACAAGCCCAAAAGCCAAGTCTCACCATGGGGAAAAAAAAAGCATTGTGGAGARGGCACAGATGTGGGATTTATCATCCAGGCAAATGCTAGCTCTCCTGGATCTCAGCAGATTYGGGTTTAACCCTGAATCTTCTGCATCAGTTCACCCATCCTCAAGAGCAAATAATTCTTACTCTTCCCATACCTGACAGTCCATATGGAAAAAGTGAACTTTCTTTTAACCAAGTTTATTTCCTAAGCACTGATGTGACTTCCAGTTAGAGATAACCCAAACCCCAAGAAACAGCGGAATAAGAAACATATCCAGCTGCAGAGCTCAACTGGCTCAACTGCAAAGACATCTTAACACWTGTTTAACAAGCAAGCTTTGACTACATTCTGTCCCTTTTCTCTCTAATAAAGCCAGACAAAGGACTCCAAAACTTGTTTCCAAATTTCCCATTTCCCCCTGTGATTTATTTCAGGGAAAAAAAGAGATGGACAAACCCTAAACATATCAGGAACTAGCAGTGATCGTGGAATGCAGTGATGGGATTCAGAAGGCAGCAGAAATACTTAGCAGTGGTGATGCTAAGAAGGTTATCACCAAACGGAAGAAGAAACAAGTTAAAATGAAAAAAACCCTGTCAAATAGTGTTGTCTTCATACGTCAAAACTTCCACCACAAATAGCAGAAGAGAAGACAGCCAATCATTTCCAGAATCAGCACTAACACAACAAAAATGCCACCACTAATCGTGGCAAGAAAAAATTTTCCTTCTGTTGCAACAAGGAACAAGCTCACTCATGACAAAAGCAAACATGGGAAAGCTGACTGGACTACACAAAACTCATTAAAAACCCTGATTAAAAGGCGCTTATCTAGTCCTGCAAGACTTAATCACTCCAAGCTAATTGGGCATCATTTGTGTTTCACTACAGAGCTGCTGCACTTTCAGARGCTCTTTCCTGGTTGATCCCAGCTCTCCCATTGTTTCAAACCTCAGAGGTGAAATACATTAACTGCAGCAGCACCACCCTAATGCTCAATGTTGATCCATCACAAACCAAAACCAAACCAAGAGGCTGATGCCACTTGTCAAACCCCTCCTGCCCAAGGTGGACACTGGTCAGACCAGTTCCTTTGTCTGTTACTTGCCTGGGTACTGTTTCATTTGGGTTTTCTTATGTACACGGGTAGGACTATAATGCTAGGATACATTTTCAGATCAATCCTGAGCAAGCACGTATCAAGTAATTAACATGAGATTAAGGACATTCTGGGGAGTCTGAAAGGCACAAGAAATGCTTTAAGTCTCTAGTTCTGGGCAGACAGGTGAACGGCCACATTCCCAAGGGAAATGCCCTGGGCTGCCAGGGCAGGCAGGCATCATTCTCTCGATGAGAGAAGTCAGCCAACATCCACATTTCAGAAATGCAGCCACCAGGATGGCTGCTGAACATGCCACAAGGAGTGGTGGAGAATTTCACACCTCTGGCTTGCCCAAAAGCAYTCTTCAGTCATGTCAGAAGTCCCACCTTTGAAAGATGGAGCAATCAAAGCCAACTGTACAATATGATAGAGCCGCTGATTGAGACAGACTGTTCATTAATGAAAGTCATCTCAGCAGCAGTGAAGGGGTTTTAATAAAAKAATTGACTGAATGTCTTCAATATGAGCAAAAGGGGATTTTGAATCTAATCACCTCATTGCTACTGCATACGTAAAAGCCTTTTGCTCACTTCCCTTTGTACATACTATAAAAAGAGTTTTGAACTGGGAAGTGTTTTTAGATCACCCATTATATTCCTTTGTACTGAGTCATAGCTTTGGAAGGGGAGATTAGAGCACAGCAGTAAATGACTCCTGAAAGGTTACCAGTTGTGTTGGGAAGTCACCTGCAAAGAGGAAGGCAAATTACAAATTACACGGAACAATAATAACTACCAATAAATTGCCATTTAGCCTGTTTACCATATAGCTTTGCGGTATAACTCACTAAGATCACCTTCACTTGATCTTGAACCATATTCAAATAAGTCTTTTTTTAATACCTTGAACCTGCTTACTCTCTCTGACGAAACCAACACCAAATATTTTGCAATGCACATGYGCAGCTGGGCTGGTAGTATCAACATAGACTGTAAATACTGTGGTGGGTGCACAAAGCATGTCTCCCAATTTCCAGAGCCTTATGGTAATCCATTTGGACAGTACAAGCAATAACAAGTATTTAATATTCTCTTCCACAAGCAGGAAGAGCAGACTTGTCAAATATTTGAAGCTAGAAGAAAACAAAAAAAAAGGAAATCTAAAACAGCTTTAGTGAATAGCTGATATGCCTAAAGTGTGCCACAACTTATTTGCAAACCTACCTCTGCCCAAGTGTGCAGCTGCAAAGGTTTTTAAAATCAGATGAGCCGCTTCATATTGCGTTATCTACCAAAATACCTGGATTTCTAATCAACACACACAGAGCTCGCTGATGGCAGAGTACTGTTCATTAAACTGCTGAGAGAATCAGCAGTGAAAAATCATTCTCCACTGGCTATTTTCTATCCCTAGCAGGCACACTTGGGAAAAAAACCAGTTTTTAGTCCATAAAGCACTTCATAATTGTGAAAACATAAAACAACTGCCCTCTCTGCCATTGCAATACAGCAAATCACATGGGTTTGGTAYGGAACAAGTGAAACTTTGGTGAAAAGTTTATATCCTAAGCAAAAATGCTTTCATTTTATATACATCTCTTGTGATACATTTCATTTTTTTCTGTAATTAAGAAAATTTGTATGGAAGACAGAGTCCTGTCCCCCAACTTCTCCCTAAAAATGTGATCATGACATTTCCTCACAGACTAGTAAGGAGGTGTGGRGGAGGAGTGTGGTCCTGAAAGGTCCACTGATCCTATGGTAAGGTCTRAAGGAATAGATACTTTCTACTGAAGAATTAACCTTCATTAGATATTTAATTGCTGCTGGGGATGCAGAGGAACAGGGCCYGTGCACTGGGTTAACAGGAGGTGGTCATTAATACAACTACTGACAAACTCAACATCATTCAGAAGTTCCTGAATAGATATCCACCTTTCCACTGGCACTCTGGAAGGGGGCAGCTGCCAAAAGCAATCGCAGAATGAAAATCCCTTTTACAGCTTTTAACACCAGCTTGCTTTACAGCAAGACCTACACAGAAGAGACCATTGCTAGTTTAAATCCAAGAGTTATACTGGAACTCACATGATGAAAGATCCTAAAAACATYTGAAGCTTTTGCACTGCAAACTGAAGGTTGGACTAATTCGCAATAGGTATTTATTATGCCTTCCTCATATTCTTAAGGATAGAGTAATCAGCAGGAAGGGTTTCCCACCCAAGAAATAAAAAGTAAGCTTTGATAAGACAACTAAGTTTGGTGAGCAGATCACATGGGCAACAATCATTTCATGGAAGAAATAGGGTTGTCATAATAAAGACAAGATTCCTCTTTTTAGTTTCACTGTAATGGGGAATGAAAATGGGACAAAGCTATTGGACATAAATACATAAAGTATACTACAAAAATACAGCATTGCCAATACTGCTCTCCACTGCCAAAGCTGGAGCAGAACAGAGAATCCAGATCCCTCAGCTTCTTCCTAGAAGAGAAATGCTTCCCTTTCTACTTCTGGATCGGCCCATCTAAGCTTTCCAAAAAGGAAAGAGATCTTGGAGAAAAGTTAATGCCCTGGAAGTAAATTTCTTGYTCTTAAATTTTCAGAGCAAGCAGTCAGTTATAAATTAATATTAAATACCATCAAATTGAAACATTCCACTGAAAGACATCTCATCATCACAGAAATTCACTGTCTGAGTAAGAAACTGCTGCAAAAATATTTAACCTGCATCCTTGAAGCTGACCATCATCATAAAAAGAAAGAAGAGTCAAGCATTTTTTTACTTGTATGTTCTGTTTTCCTTTGTACTCTCACACTCCCACAGGACGTCTCTCTCCGTTGATGAAAAAGAGCTAAATCTCTCTCCGTAGATGAAACAGGATTAGCTGCACCTCCTCTCCCTAGATTCCAAGAGAGACAAGCTGTTCCAATACAGTGGCTGAGACAGATTCCCACATCTTCTCCAGGGTTACCCAACCCAGTTTATTCCCATGTCTCCAGTGCTTTATGACTGCCACCTTCCGTTGTGGAAGGGAGTAACACACTCCTGCGGCACTCGGCTACCTCAGCTTTCTGGCTCCAGCTTAGGATGATGCTCATCCTGAAAACTGACTGCTCACCCAGCTTGGAATTTTTGCAAGATTTAGGGTGCTGATCCTTTACACTCACTGCCTGCTTCCCTCTATAATGGCAAAACAACACGAGAGCCCCAGGTACTGCAACCGAACTTCATGGCCAAATTGTGAAAGACAGGTTGAAGTTACCACAGTCCTTTGGAGCTCTGCTTCAGACACCTGCTCTTCCYACTTTCCAAACTGCTCATTCAGCTCCAAGTAAGTCAGAAATCTTCATCTGTACCTCTTTCTTTCAACTACAGTTTTTTTTTGGGGGGCTTTTAAAATTGTTATTATTTAACATACAGGGATGTTTTATACACAGTTGAGACACATAGCTGCAATTAGCGCATATAATGTAAGSACTGAAAGGCTGTCACAGTTCAATGAGGAAATCCCACTAAAAGAGAACAAAATAGATCACTCTCTTTGCATTATACAATCTTATGGCCCTATCCTTGATATTCTGTTCTATAAACATCTTCATGCTAATCTGCTATGGTATTAATTAGTGTGACAGACCACTAAAATATTAATTTTGTCATAATTCAGTTTACCTAAGGAACATGCCTAAAACCTTTTAAACATTACCTAAGGTTTTAAATTAACATTTAAGCAACAAATTATTTTTCATAAGGACATTTTTAGTTTAAAAAAAAAAAAATCAGTGTTTTAACTCAATGGGCTCCTCTCAAGCTGTGCAGGAACAGAACACTACTACTGGAGAGCATCTGGCTGTCCCCTGAAGGCCCGTRTGGATCAGCGAGTTAACAGCTGGAAAAACACTCTCTGGACACAAGAGCATCAATGAAAATTTAAAGCAATACTGCTCTAAGTCTCCTAATGTTGCCATGTTTCTAAGTAAAGTAATGAAGTTGTATTCACAGGAAATCCAGCTCAGGATTGACCACAGAAAGCTCATTTCCAACACATGGAAGCCTTTTGATTTACCTTTTGCTTTCTTCCACTGCTTTGTCCAAGTGCTGGAAGATATCTTGGAATAAAATGCAGCTAGAGCGACTGTTGATGTCATATCCATATCCTCTCTTCCAGTATTGCTTCAGGTCGTTCAGRTATTCCAGCACCTAAAGTCAGAGCTCACAGGTTTTTATTATTGYACTAAGGGAAAACAAAGAGCTCCATGGCCCGGAGCAATGACACAAAAGCAACCCCAAACAATCACAAACATCAGGGTTCCAGCTGAAACCACTTCAGCATAAAACCAGACAACAGATGAGACCAAAGAGCCACCAAATTCAGTATCTGGCTACACTTAGGTGAGGTGCTGTACATCACAAGACAACCACTATCCACCCCTTTTTCAGCACTTCTGATTTAGCCTTTGGCTCATCATTCTCCTCACAGAATACATCCCACACCTTTAACTCAGCTTGTCTGTTTTCACATTCCAGAGATGTGCACACATCTCAGACAGAACTGTGCCTTGGAATTATGCAATAGCACACTGTGCTCTCCTTGTTCTCTGCTCCTTTCCTGACACATTAAAGTTGCTTCCCMCCTCCCTGCTGAGTTATTTATAACTACACTGAACAGGGCAGGTGCCAGCAGAAGCCCATCATGACCCTGATCCTCTTAGAGAGAAGACCACTTATTCCTAGCTGCCCACCCTTTAGCCAACCACCTACCTATACAAAGGTCTTCCCTATTTCCCAGGGCTGCAAATTTCYTTAAGAGCCTTGGGGGAGCCTTACTGAACATCAAAAGTTACATCAAATRTTTTTGAAAGAAGAGGAACAAACATTTGCCTCATTTATCTGGGTTTTATTAACAGGCCTTTATTTGGTTTAGAGATCTGATAGTCCACAAAACCAGATTAGAAGTCTTAGAATGGCTTAGGATGAAAAGTTATTTAAGACCATCTCATTCCAAGCCCTATKTAACAGGCRGAGACACTTTCCACTAGACCAGGYTGCTCCAAGCCCCACATACCTTGGCATCTTCTTCACTGAAGAGGGAACACCACGGGGAGGTCACATTCTTTATAGCCAGCTCGTATGAGCAGGTGAGAAAAGCCACTTGAACAAGATCTGCAGTAAATCCAACAAACAAGCAAGACATTAACCACTGCTCCATAAGCAGCAAATTCCTCTCAATTCACCTCTAAAATGAATTGCCRTTACTCTTTGGCAATGCAAAGAATGAAATCCAATAAATAATAGGCAGGAAAAAGGCCAAGTACCAAAAATACGCAGTCTAACAGAATTATCATGCAAAATCCAAATTTTGGACTGCAAGCTCTTCACAKGACATCATTAAAAGGGGCAAACAAGAGCATTTCACATTAAATGCTGCACATTTGTTGATGTGTTATAGGTGTCAGCCACTGGCACAGCCTCATCACCACAAAGGACAGAAGAGTCAACACAGGGAAGGTGTGAGGTCTTGGACAACTCCCCCTCCACATTAGCAGCTGAGTACAAGCAGCACCATGCTGAACTTTGTTTCCATCATGTGCTTAAAGATGCAATCCCAACAGCAACACTTATTTTGGGGGAGTTTTCCCCTTCACTTGACCACACAGGGAAACCCAGCACTTCTGTTCTRGACAGGCAAGTTAGAACACAGTCACACAAGTCTGTGCCTCCTGCTTTTTCATCTCTGAGCTTGACTTGTAATGGGTTTCACCTTCAGAAAGCAGAATTAAAAGGAAAACACTCAAATCCCTCCAAAATCAGATAAAACCAGTTTGACCTACAGGAAAAATGTTTTCAAACATGTTTTTCTTCTGACCACTAAACAACAACCATTCATTACTGCAACACCAACACAGACTTACAGTTTCATGCATTTAATTAGGGACTACATCTCCAATTCACAGCCAGTTTAAACTACCTACTCTGCATAACTACATGTCTTGGAAGCTGACCTCAGCCAGACTTGGAGCCAAAGCCACCCGTGGCAGGAATTCCTTACCTGCGTTTAGCTCCTCCACTGGCATACACAAGGCACTGGCCACCTTCTCCAGGACCTTCTTCATCTCAGGCCCCTCTTTGAAGGCGTTCACCTGGCACATGGCTGCATCGTTCTCCTCCACKAGGGCTACAAACTTGGCGCAGTGATCAAAGAACCGCATCAGGGAGTCGTTAACTTCAACCTCCACCTCTGAAAGCAAACGTGRGCATCAGAGGAAGCACCACCATCCCCAGGGGTAGCAGGAAGTGGCCACCACCTCTAAGGGACAGGCTGCCCACTACAGCTGTGTCCCCATGGAAGGGATGCAGGGTCCTCCTCAACCTGGGCATGGGGGATTTGGGACTGGTCTCATGGCTACCATCAGCCACGGGGAGGGCTGGGGATACCCCCAACCCCTCCGGAAGCATCAGGGGGTCTCTGTCAGGGAGGGTGTGGGATTCTTCCAGCCACCCAGGARGGGCACAGGAGTCCCCCAGCCCCACAAGGAGGTCATCGTGCTCCCTCAAGATTGGATCGAGGCTCTCCCAGCCCTCAGGGAGGGCATGGGAGTCCCTCAGGAGAGGGATGGAGCTCCCAAGGGTGGGCACAGGACTCTGCTCAGCCCCTCCCTGAGGGCACAGGAATCCCTCAGGGAAGGTGTGAGGCATCCCCAATCCCTTTGGGAGAGCCGGGAATCCCTCGGGGAAGGTTGGGGCATGCCCCAGTCCCTCAGAAAGGACACAGAAGTCCCTCAGTCAGGGAATGGGTCTCCCTCACCCCCTCAGGGAGCAGCGGGAGTTCCTCCAGGAGAGGCAGGATTCCCTTAGAGGGCGAGGGTGATACCCCCAGCCCATCAGGGAGGGCATGGGGCTCCCTCAGGGAAGACACAGGAGTCCTTCGGGAAAGGCGGTGGAACACCCCGAGCCCCTTGGGAAGGTGAGGAGGCTTCTGCAGCCCCTCAGAGRGCACAGGGAGCTTCCTCAGGAAAAGTGTGAGACTGTGCCAGCCCCTCAGGGAGAGCCGGGAGCTCYCCCAGGGAAGGGCGCGGGTGCCTCGGACTCACCATCGCCGCCGAAGTCGAGGGTGGGCCCGAGCCCGCGGCGGAAGGCGGCCCCGCTCTGCAGGCAGCGGTGCTTGGAGCTGCTGGCCAGCGCCAGGCGGCGGCGGGCGGCGAACAGCGCGGGGAAGCGGGCGGCCATGCGCTGGGCCAGCTGCTCCATGTCGCGCCGGCCCTGCGGCGCCAGCCGCCCGTCCAGGCTCTCCTCGTACCACATGGGCCAGGCGGCCAGCGCGGCGGCGGCGGGGCAGGCGGCAGTCCCCGCGGGCCGGCGGAGCAGCCGGGCGTGCAGCTCGCCCAGCCGGCGGACCTGCCCGGCCGTGGGGTAGCGGGTGCCGTGCCGGAGCACGGCGCGGAGCTGCAGCGGAGCGCAGGAGGCGGGCAGCGACCCGCCCGCCCCGGGGCCCAGCGACAGCGGGTCGCGCACCAGGTGCGGGTTCACCTCCTCGTAGCGGGACTTGGTRCCGAAGTAGCCGCTCAGCCCCGCGCTCGCCGGCGACAGGGCGAGGAGCAGCAGGAGAAGAGCGGCGTCCCGGCGAGGCGCCATGGCTGCAACTGCGCGGCTGCCGCAGGAAGAGGCGGAGCGCGGCCGCTTCTTCACGGCTTCACCCTCCCCGGGGACCGCCCCAGCCCAGATCTGCCCGGCCCCTCACGGCTCCGTCCGTCCCTCCCTCACGGC